AAATGGCCGCCGTACCACGTGACAATATGCATCATCTTAGGATATGCACTAGATCTCATCATACTTAACAAACATGTGAAAAAAATTTCCAGATATGTGCAACGTGTTCGAATGGCGCTTAGCGAAAAAATCTGGCGGAATAATAATAATAAAAAACATAACGATTACAATAGGTTTCAAGACATGTGTCTTGAAAACCTAATAATAAACGGAACAATTACAAAAGGGTTTCGACCAAATGGGCTCGAAACCCTAATAATAATAAACGGAACAATTTCAATAGGGTTTCGACCAAATGGGCTCGAAACCCTAATAAACGGAACAATTTCAATAGGGTTTCGACCAAATGGGCTCGAAACCCTAATAACAAAAACAATAGGCTTTCAAGCCTGAAGGGACTTGAAAGCCTAATTATAATAGTGCCATTGACAATCGCCATTTGCAAATTTTAAAAGTGGTACTTCTCATACAATTGTGTGTGTGTGTATGTGTGTCTGTTGAACTGTTCAGCCATCTGTCTACCCATCTGTCTGTTTGTCTGTCTGCTAGTACACAAATCAGGCTCTACGAATATCTCTAGATCCAATCAACCAATACACAGGAAATTCAATATTCAGATTTTAATAAATCAAAATAAGATTACTGTCCTTGCTTAAATAGCAGTGCATATTCTTATGTAAATGACAGAGGTGTGTCTATGGTCAAAATACTGTATTTGTTCTATTAGTAGAGCATATCATTATGTAAATGACAGAGGTGTGTCCATGGTCAAAATACTGTATTTGTTCTATTAGTAGAGCATATCATTATGTAAATGACAGAGGTGTGTCTATGGTTAAAATAGGTTATGTTGCTCTTTTGAAGGTTGTCGCCCGACTGACAATGTAATACAGATAGGCGCCATGTTATTCGGGTAATCATTACCTTTAACCCTTTCACCACCAATTACCTATTTTCATCACAAATTTACAAAATATAGTCCCGTTTATAGTCTGCATTTTCCTTCAGAAGATTGGGACAAAAATAGCCAAATTTTTTAGTAAAAACTGAAAATTGACTCAAATTTTGTCTTTTGGCTCAAAAGTTAGGGTTCATTTTCAGAAATATTGAAGAAGATAAGAAAGTGCAGAATAATTCAGGCCAGAGAGTCTGGTTGTGAAGACGTCAATCATCCTTTGTACTTAATAGTAGACATTTATTTATGTTTGTTCTGAGATGTTCTTCATATTGGTAAACAATTTAACATTATTTCATGCAGGTATCTGAACTGTATGCAGCTGAGTTCACACAACCTCTGAGCTCAGAACAACTCAATCTTATTAATGAACTATGCAAGAAAAGACTACAACGGTAAGATAATACTTTGCAGATAATAATACTCTGCTGAGTGAAAATTTATTTATTTCAATGCTTTGAGCGCCATAATATTTCCCATCAAAATTTTGGTACTACATTTTTGACTCCCATGTGCGAAGCACAAAATGGGAGTCTTTGCAGTTAGTGTGTCTGTATGTGTGTGTGTATGTGTGTATGTGTGTATGTGTGTGTGTGTGTATGTGTGTCCGACTGTTCCACTGCTATCTCAAGAACCATACATCGGTTTTTGATGAAACTTGGTGCATAGATGCTCTGGGCCAATGCGCAGATTTGATTAGGTTTTGGTAAAAATCCATGCTCGTTAATTACCTAATTTGCATGATAATTAGCTAATTTTTAGCTGTTCTATGACTGTTCCACTGATATCTAAAGAACCACTCATTGGATTTTGATGAAACTTGGTACATAGATGCTCTGGCTTGACTATGCAGAGATTGATTGTTTTTGATAAATATTTGTGCATATTAATCACCTAATTTGCATAATTAGTTAATTTTCAGCTTTTCCACGGGTATCTCAAGTACTAATCATCGCATTTCAATGAAACTTGGTACATAGATCCTTTAGGACTATGCAGAGACCTGATTAGTTTTAGGGTAAATAATTGTGCATATTAATTACCTAATTTGCATAATTAATTTTCAGCTTTTCAACTGATATCTAAAGTACTAATCATCACATTTCAATGAATCTAGAATTATGCAGACCCAATTAGTTTCCGGTAAATATTTGTGCATATTAATCACCTAATTTGCATAATTAACCAACTTTCACACTGATATCTCAGGTACTATACATCACATATCAATGAATGTACATGGATGCTGTAGGACAATAGACAGACCTGAATAATTGTGGGTTAAAATCTGTACATATTAATTACCTAATTTGCATAATTAACCAATTTTAAGCTTTCACACTGATATCTAAAGTACCAAAATTTCGACCGGTTTTAAATAATTGGTGTTAGATATGTGACGTGTTTTTAGAGTCAAAATTAAGGTGCATTTTTGGACGATCGAATTTTTCAGAATAGAAATCAGCAAATGAAAAAATGGGGATGATAGACAGTGTGCTTCATTAGTTTTTAAAAAATGCAATGTCCGTCAATTGACGTAAACTTCCTCATGTTTCACGGTGAAAGCAAAGGTCGTGGCCGAGTTGTAACTCAAAATCTAAACAAAGTCATCAATCAGTGAGTATTATGACAAGCAAAACAAAACATCAAGACGCGCAGAAGAGGTCAGCACAAAACTAATAGGTCAAAAGACAAAGCTGTCTCGCACTACCTAGAAAAACTTGCGAATGTTCGAAGTACAGGTACCCATTGGACAAAAGATGCATGGAAGTTTAGCAAACTATCTCCCCGACCCAGTGCAATGTATCCGGTTAGAATCAAAGCTCACGT